ACAATTATTTCAAGTTCGTTGCGGCTGCCAAATGTAAAGAATAAAATTTAGTGACGAATGCTTATTTTACGCTTCAGTTTTCGACAACTTACGGCAAATGTGATTTCGTTTCCAAATTCTGTTATTCATTCGTTTTCGCTTCTTTTTTTTTTGGCGTCACGGTGCGAAAATTTGATTTGTGCTCTGAAGCAGAAGCTGCCGTTTTAATTTAATTCTGTTTGGATTCTTATTGCCTTCTACATGTGCGAGTGAAGATTTATGGCATACCGTTTTACCAACGCCGGCTGCTCTCGAACCTTATGGGGCGGAATAGAGAGGGGCGGCCGCAACGGCAAGGGCGGGTCTCGAAATGTATTTTTAATATTTATGCCGAGTTTCAATGAAATAGCTGAACACCAGCATGCTCTTAGCCTCCCACTCGGACAGACGGAACTAAAAGTTGCGGCAAAGTTTCCCCATTTAAGCAGAAAAACATCCCCACGCCAATTGGTTTGGGCCAACATGTTTGGGCGCTATTAAAATGCGACAAGAATTCCGCGACATTCGTCCGCAGGCGAAATGGCAGCTAAAACGAATGAAAATTATTTGTATATTTATTGTGTTTTATTGAAGCACTCAAAATTCGAGATGTAAGAGGATACACGGCAGTAAAAAAATATGGAAAATATAAGAGATACTCATGCGAATGAAAAACACAAGGAAAACAAACGGCGAAAGCACCGCAACAAGAGAGAAGTAAGACCCATATTGACATAAAAGCCAATCATTTTAAAATAGCTTTAAGCAGCGTCTACGAGTCTGCAGCAGGCAGAAAACAAAAACGAGAAAAAGAAAAAAGAAAAAACATCAAAAGGTCTTGCCAGTGAGGAAAATACCAAGTACACGTCCAATTTGGAGCCACTGTGGAGAGTTGGAGAGCTTCTGGCTGGCTGAAAGTGTGTTGTGGACAAAGTGAATGCATTTTTCTGCTTGAGCACAAAACCACCGCAGCGCTGACACCAGCAGCCAGCACCACATCCGCTGGCAGCAACATTTCGGTTGCAGACAGCCACAGCCCTATGCACTTTGAACTATCGCAAGTGGCTCGCCGTGGCTCTCTTGGCCAACCGAGTGCCGTCGCATACAGAATCAAGAGACAAGCTTTGCAAGTGAGATTCAGAAACCTATTAGCAATGCATGGACAACGCGTACGCGTTGCCTTGGAGTACAAACTTAAAGCTGCCCAAATGTGCGGGCCACGGCAAATCAATCAATTATCACTGAAGCGCAAGACTCCATGATTGATGTGCCCGACGCCAAACATCAATCATCGTTCAACTTAAGTGTAGTGCGCTGTGGCTAGTAGATAAATCAGAATCAATGCGTTGGCCTAGAGAGCTGACGTTGTAGCTGCACATATGTATGTATAGTCCTTCATATATTATCGTTTTCGACAAGAATGCTTAGAGATACAAAAGTCAACTGTCTGTTGAATATTCAAAATAATGCTGAATAGAAGTACTTTTTGAGTATTTTTTGACAGCTCAAATGTATTTGACTGCCACAGTCAATAATACATACAACTTAAAATAATTTTGACGAATAAAAAGAAAAGTTTGAGTAAACCTAGAAAACAATATTTTATATTTTTAACCTGTATCTTCAATTAAAATTTGATATATTCATTTTATATATAACAAAAAAATTCAATATTCTCTATACATTTCATAATAAAAATTTATTATTTGTCATACATAAACTACTTTCCTCTAACTCTGTCTTTTAGACTCTCAGTTAAAAAAATAACATAAAATA